TTCAAAAGAAATGGTAAATGCTTAAAAACACAGAGTGAAAAATGCCCCAGGCAGCCGTCAACCTGGCTGGGCAGGATGGAGGAAGCCAACAGCGCTGAGCGTGCCGCGTGGGGGAAGGGAGCCCGTGGTGGGACAGCAGAGGGCGCACAGTGGGGCAGCCCCCCCCCCCCCCCCCCGGCTTGGAGAACAGGGCCAGGGGAGCAGCCCGGGACCAGCCGCAGTAGGTGGGTCACCCTCCACCCTCCACCCTCCAGGTCCAGACTCCAAGATGGAGCGAGCATGTCTGTACTTCCTCTCCCCGTGCCTCTTGGACACTGAGGATGGGAATTTTGCAGCATCTCTGGTAGCACAAGCAACTGTTTGACAGGGCTGGGCGGCCCGGCTGCAGGATGGCCCTGACCTGGTCATTTCGAGTAGCACAGTAAACATCTCTTGATATGTTCCTTATGGGGTCCTGGGGAATGATAAAGTAAGGATGGAAACCAGGGTCTTCTAGTCAAAGAACCAGGCCTTGGCTTAGGGAGGAAAATATCTGCCCATATCCCCATCAAGTGCTTGAATGCTCCCAGTGACAGAGAGCTCACTGTCTCATTCCTCTGCTGGCTGAGTTTCTCTTCCCTGACCTTCAGTTTTCCCTTTCCGGTTGGCCCCGCTCCCCTTCCCTGGCCGCAGGGAATGAATCACAGACCTACCCTGGGACAGAAAGGAAGCAGAAAAGCGCACGGCTCTTGAGTCTTACTCTCTAAGTAAGTAGACCAGCTACTTCAGCTCGCTTTTCACCCCTGAAGGCAGACAGAATCTGGAGGGCAGGGGTGGAGTCTCCGCTGGGGGCTAGGACAGCTTCTGAATGACCTGTGTGGGCCATGCAGCCCACCCTGTCCCAGAGGCCCGAGCATAAGGCAGGCGACCGAGACAGAACTGCTTTCCCTGAGCAGTGCTTCAGCCCAGGCTCTGTCCAGCCCAGCCTGTTTCTGAGCACTCTCGCCAGTGTGGTATCAGCCCTCGCAGACCCCCAGCTCCTCCTGGGGCTGTGCAGGGGCAGCCTGTGAGCCAGGCTGGAAAATCCCTGCTTTGCCCATTGCCACTGGGGGACGGGTTCATAAAATGCGAAAAATCCCCCTTTCCCTTCACCTCCAAGGAGTTTAATCTCTTCTAATCAATTTAGCAGACTCGCTTGGTTGTAAACGGTAATGATTTGCATTTTTGAGCCTTTTTATCCCTCCTTAAGAAAAAAGATGCCTCCTCTGTCTGCCTTCTGGAAGGCCTGTGCAGGGCTGTGAATTGCTTGTTAGCACTCACCCTGGCGCCAGTGCAGCGCCAGGCCTCCGCCCATCACCTGCACTGATCCCAGCGCAGGGGAGGGGACAGGGGCGCACAGCATGCCCACAGCTGCCCCTGGCTCTGTTCCTGGCCCTGAGAGCAGGTCCACCCCTTGGGGCGCACCCCAAGACCCCTCTTTCCAGCAAACGCCCCAGCTCTCTCCTGGTTGCCTCCCTAGCTCCATTGCTCCCTGTCTGCCGCATCCAATTTTCCTTGTTGTATTTTTCATAAGCGCGAGGCTCAGAAGCCCCGTCCTCCTCCCTGGTGTGTTCAGCAGGAAGCAGATTACCGGAGTGGAGTGGGTTGGCTTTGGGACTTGGACTGTCGTTGGTGGGGTGGGGGCGGGGGTTGACCTCCTCTCCTGCCTCGGCTCCAAGCAGGTGAAGGAGGGAGGCTCAGGTGTCCTGGGCATGCTGCCTGGCACTTCTCCAGGCCCATCAGTCACCTCAGATCCTGCAGGGATCTTCACCTGGCCTGTCCCTCCCGCTCTGGGCCTCTGTCACCTGCTGTGGATCAACTAGAACTTCTACTTCCAGAATTGGTGGAAGGGAGGAGCCCTTACTTGGCCTTTGGAGCACCCAGCTTTTCTGGGTGAAGCCCTACTCCTGTCGCAGCCCACCCTCCACTTTGCAGAAGGGGAAACAAAGGCTGTGGATTTACAAAACACGCTTTCCCTCCACCTCTCTGCAAACCCTTTCTGACCCCTCCTCACTTTCTGCTCCTGGTTGGCCTCCCTGGACCCCTAGGGGAAGGAGGAGGAGGGAGGGAGAAGAGGCACAAGGCAGGCACGAGTCTTGGGCTCTGGGTGGGGAAGCCTGCCCCCCCTCCCCCAGCCACCACCATCTTCCTAGCTGCTGTCCCCTCCCCTGCCAGTGTCACTCAGAGCCAGAAGGGACCAGTGCCCCACCTCCTGCCCCCAAACCTGGCATCCTGGCCCTGGATGGGGAGGCCCTCTAGTCAGCCACATGGCTGCCATGTTCCTGTGGAGGTGGCCCAGGAAGCTGGAGCCAATTTAGAGAAGATGGAGGCTTCCTCGGGGAGGCCACAGGAAAAGGGAAGGAGAAAAGGGAAGAAAAGAAGCTTTTGATGCACATCATGTCTGCAGAATTGAGTATGACTAATTAATAGATTTTATTCTTAGTAATCTCTTAAGCATTCCATACGTTGGGCCCCACGCCTGAGCTGAGCTTACAAGAGGCCTCATTCGCAAAATGCAAATGACTCGCCTGGCCCTGCTGCCTCCTCTCTTGCCTCGCCTTTTCTCCCCCCCCCTTTTTTTATTTTATTTTATTTTATTTTTTTTAGGGAAAATTTAAAGGAAAATTGCCATGTAATAGAAAAGAGATTCTAATCACTACATCTAATTACCACGAAGGGTAAACCACTTAACCAAAGAAGTGTCATGGGCTCTTTTTATAAAAAAACTTAAAACCTGCTATAAATGCCACAGAATACACTCATCAACGCTGAGGCCAATGAGGTTGTTCTGGCTAGTTAGAGGCTGCAAGGGTCAGGTCGGCCGCCCACAGAAGGGAGATTCTAGACAGAAGTGGTAGCCTGGGCCCTGGGCTTGTCTTCCCGGGCCCTGTGTCCTCAGGCACTGCTAGGGGCTGGGGGAGGCTGGGCAGCCCTGCAGCATCTCTCTCCTTGTGTTATGAGGACACTCAGAGGAGTTGGACCAGGAAGGGACAGGGGTTCAGAGTAGACCTGGCTTCAGGCCCCCTCCTTGGCTTGGGGAGCTGTGAGGTGGCAGACATTTGGGAGCTCGCTCTCAGAAAGGACTCCGGGAGGATGTCTGATGCGGAGGGGAGGGAAGGTGACAGCAGGCCCCAGGGCCCGGCTGGCGAGTCTCCACTATCCTCAGCACTTACAGGGCAGGAGGACGCCTGCAGCGAGCCCTCGGTGAGCCCCTGCCTGAGCCCCCGGGGAGCAGGAGACCCACGTGTCCTCAGGCCCAGGTGGGCCCGGGCCTGCTTTGTGCTGTAGGGGAGGGAAGCTGATCACCCAGGCCTGCAGGCCTTTCTGACCTCACTGACTCTAGGGCCACTTGCTGTTCCTCAAATGCCTCCCTAACCTCAAAGGGCATGATTTGACCTCCTCCTGGTGTGGTTGAGGGGAAAGGAGGCCCCAGAGTAAGATTGGGGGCCCAAGCATGTTGGCAGTGGGGACTGGGGGGCCGTGGCAAGGCCAGGGCCTGGGACACCGGCAGAAGGCATGAGTGGTGCCATGAGGGAGGGGACCTCACTTCTGAAACAGCAGGGACCTCGGGCTTCTGTCCCTTCCCCCTCTTCCTGAGCCAATGCCCTACATCTACGCGCACCCTCTGCTCCTCCCCGAGCTGCCTGAACAGCCTGTGTCAGGGGCACTTGAGGCCAAAGGGAGGGCGACCTTCACAGAGACATGAAATTAAGGCTTGGAAAAATCTCTCTCTTGATCTCATTGTGTGAGAAAATGATTCAAATGGGCCAAAGGGTGGGGAGGCTTAGTTTCGAGTGGAGTGTGTCCATGCCCTGCGCCTCTCCCTGGGCCTGGGGAGCCGGACTCCCCATTGTGGGGCGAGAGCGAGACCCTCCCTCCAGCCTGGCGAGGGAGGGGGCCGTACCTCTCCTCCACCCGACTCACACGGCTCTTGTGACCATTCCTTTCAACCCCTGCCTCTTCACTGAAGGGGCCAGTCACATCTTTTCACGACCAGCGAGCGGCCAGCCCCCGGGCCTGTCCCGGCAGCCCCGTGACTGCCGGTCAGCCTCTTCTTCCTGCCCTTGGCTTTTGTCAGTGCAGTTGAGGCCTTTTGAAACCGCCAGCACCTGGAGCCAGACACCTCTCCAATCTCCCCTGCCCTCGGGCCAGTCTCCTCCGACATGGCTCTTCCCCAGCACAGCACCAGGGGCATGTTAACAGGTGGTGGCCCGAGCTTCCTGAGGGCCGGGGCACGGGAGACCGCAGAACCCCGGACGCCACTCCTCCTTCACTCCAGCTTTGCTGTCATCCTTTCATTACCGTTTTAATCTCATGGCTCACCAGACCGCACTGCCAGTTGATAAATGATGGCAACCCGGGTTCCGGGGGCGGGGGGGAGGAAATAAAAACTGAATTCTTCCAAGGGCCCCGGTCAGTACCCTTCTGGAGCTGGCATTTCTGGAGGTCTGGTCTTCCCTCTCCAGAGCAGAGTGCCAGGGGTGGGTGCGGCCGAGTGCTCTGCGTTCGGGGGGCTGCTGTCTCCCAGAGCTCTTCTGAGAATGTTCACGTCTTTTTCTGGGCTTTGTTTGAGCAGCCATGGAAACCATTAGGTCTAATCAGCTCATAAAAAAAAAAAAAGTCCCTGCACCAATTACCTGTCCCGGGAGAAAGCACACAGCAGAGAGGAAAGAGAAAGTCGCTGTTGAGGTGACTGCATCTGCATCTCGGGGGGGGGGGGGAGAGGCGTTGTGGGGCGGCGGGGGGGGAGAGACGAGCACACCGGCCATCAAAGAACGCTTTTCTCTGTATCACAAAAGAGTGCAGACCAGCTCTGGCCAACCTGAGATAGGGTTGAACTGAGGGTGCCCCTTGCCCGGGGTCTCCCTGGCCACCGGACTGGGACAGATACACCTCCGCCTTTAGGAACAGCATTGTTCCCCCTCCCGACTCCCACCCCCAACGCGCTTTGTCTACTTACTCAATGATTTCTAGGAGAAAGCAACATTTTCGTGACTCTATTGTCTCAGGAAATTGTACGAACTGACCCAAGAAGTAGTAAGGACCGGATATGAGGCTCTATCTACCCATCTGTATTGAGAGACACGACACAGAGATCGACAGGTAGATAGATGCACCTCCGCTTGGCTGGGAAACCACAGCTCCCCCAGGGGGCTTCCATGGAGCGCGGTGCACGGAACCGGAGAGGGTTTCGGTATAGGAAAAAGAAAGTTTGCTTTTTAATTGACTACACCATTGTTCAAAGAATGCAGTGAAAGACGTGCTCTTTCTGCAAATCTGTAAGGGAAATGTTACGGAAAGAACCAGGCAAGAGGTTTCAGGACAGTTTCTCCATAGCAAAAAGATCTTTTCTTCCCCTTCTCCTTTGTGAAGAGCCTGAAAACCTTCCATCATGTCGTTGTCACTAGCGAGGAGCCGGCAGCAAGAGCTGCGTGGGGGCTTCGCGTGTTGGCTGTTCTCTCTGACGGTTCTTTTGTGACGGCCTTGAACAGAGCGTGAGGCGCACACAGACAGGTAGTATCTTTCCAGTTCAGGAAAAAAAAAAAAAACAACAACCCTGACCCAACCCTTCCTGCAATATTATTTTTAGTCCTTCCTTTCCCAACTGGCATAATTTGGTATAAATTATGTCTTCAGCAACGTCAAATCCCCCTCCTATTTTCTATTCTTTAAAAAAAAAAAATCTTTTTTTCCACTGTTGTGTTCTATAAAATCGTCAACCGTTCCCAAACTTTGCTTTCTGCTGGGAAAGTCATCGTGGAATTCCTTCTCCTTGCTCTATGGGATGGCAGCAGGCTGGGCAGAGCCACGTTGTCGCCAGGCCAGGGGGGGCGGCGGGAGCTGGGGCGGAGGCGGCCCGTGTGGCTGGTATCATGTGTAGGTGTAGTCTATGTCAGGGATGCCACCATCCCGGTAGCCCCGTGTGGTGCCGTAACCGATGGTGTGCGTGCCCTTACAGAGGCTGCTGCCATTGGAGGGGAAGATGGTGTGGACCACGTACTCCTCTTTGGCGTGGTAAGGGTTGATGGGCAACATTTGCAGCCCAGGGCCTCGGATTTCCAGGATGGAGTTATCCTTCTTGGTCCCGGACTCCATGTAGTCGTCCTTTTTCCGATTGCCCCGATTGTAGGCCCGGTCCCGGGTCAGCAGCTCACCGGCCCGGTGCACGTACCAGCAGATGGCCCCCAGGACCAGGAAGAGGAAGACGAGGGCCACGGCACCACCGATGATGCCCGCCAGGGGCAGGCCCCCCATGGGGTCTGCGTTCTGCTCCTGGTTAAGCGTGGTGGTGGGGCCATAGCTGTCTGCCGTCTCGGCCTTGGCGCACACAGGCGTCTCGTCGGCCACGTAAGTGTTGCCAGTCTCCATGGTGACCATGCAGATGATATAGGTGGACTTGGGCTCCAAAGCCGTCAGCAGGTACTCCGTCTTGTCCCCCTGCACCAGTGTCTCCGTGATGGAGCCCACGGCTGGGCTGTGGCCCAGGCGTAGCCAGCTGAGCCGGAAAGAGGAGGCGGGGAGCGTGGCCTTCCATGTGATGCGGATCGAGTCCGCCGTCAGGGGCTTCACGTGGATGACCAGGGTCTTGGCGCCATCGCCCGTGGCCATGGGGTAGTCGAGGCTGGAGTCGGGGAGGCGCAGCCCCGGCCTCTTGGCCTTGAGGGTGAAGAGTGAGCCCTGGGGTGTGGTGGCAGAGGCGTGGTTGCTGGCCGTGGTCTTGGCAGCAGCGTCGGACGCGCCTCCCTGTGAGCCCGTCTCAAAGCACTCGTCCATCTCGCTGGTGATGTCCTTGATGGCCATGCCCCGGACCTTCTCGGGACCCTGGCACATGAGGCCCCGCACATTGACCACGGCCGCCCGCGCCTTCACCCAGTCGCGCAGCCACATAAGGTTACAGCCGCAGAACCAGGGGTTGTTGCGCAGCAGGAGCTGGGCCAGGTTCTCCAGGTCGTCGAACAGACCGCGGGGCAGCGTGGTGAGGTTGTTGTTGGACAGGTCCAGGCGCTCCAGTTCACGCATCTTGGCCAGCGTGTTGTAGGGGATGTGGCTGATGGCGTTGTCCTGCAGGTACAGCTTCTGCAGGTGGGCGCTGGGCAGGTTGAGGGGCGGGGCAGCCAGGGAGTTGCGCACCAGCGAGAGCTCAGTGAGGTTCTGCAGGCGGCTGAACGTGTCGTCGGCGATGCGCTGGTTGGCTAGCAGGTTGCCGTCGAGCACGAGGCGGCGGAGGCTGTTGAGGCCCTTGAAGGCGTGCAGCGGGATGGTGGAGATGCGGTTGTCATCCAGCCGCAGCTCCTCCAGCGTGCGGGGCAGCCCCGAGGGGATGCTGCTCAGGTGGTTCCGGCTCAGGAAGAGCAGCTTGAGCTGCTTGCTGTCGGCAAAGGCGTCCTCCTCGATGCTGACGGTGGACACAGAGTTGTCGTCCAGGTGCAGCTTCTCCAGCAGCGGGATGCGGGCCAGCGAGTCCCTGGCGATGGTGCGCACATTGTTGTCCTGCAGGTGGAGCTCCCGCAGGGAGCGGGGCAGGTTGACCGGGAACTCATCCAGGTCGTTCTCGTACAGGTAGATGACCTGCACGTTGACCTTGGTCTTGAGGTCCTGGGGGATGCCGGCGTTGTTGATCCGGTTGTTCTGCAGGTAGAGGGTGGTGGCGTCGTCAGGGATGTCAGCGGGGATGGAGGTGAGTCCCCGGTCGTTGCAGTAGATGAAGCTGTTGTCACAGCGGCATACCGAGGGACAGGTGGTGCTGTCGATGACCTCTGTCAGGAAGGCGATGAGCCCGTAGCAGAGGAAAAGCCAGTCCCGCAGGTCCATGGTGGCCGTGGTCATCACGACGGTGGCCGTGACGGTGGCAGCAGGTGTGGTGGTGGCGGCGGCAGTGGGGTGTGCCACCACCATGGTGGATGGCTGGGGGCGCCGGGCCCCGCCTGATTTGGAGCCTCAACACCTGCAAGGAGCATAAGACACGTGCAGTGAGAGCGAGTCCTGGCGCCCACCTGCCTGCCGCCGCAGGGTTGCCACGGGGTCGCGGCGGGGCAGAGGTCAAGCCTCCAGGCGCATGCCCCGCAGCCCTTCCTGGGCCAGCCTGACTTCACGGGTGATCCCTCGGGCCGAGGTCAGACTCTAACGACATCTGGCTAACGTGAAATCTCATCAGGAGCAAAGATGTCTGTGAATTAGGCGGCCACAGTCCGCCTTCCCGGACGGTGATTTCGAGCCGCGGGTGAGGTTCATTTAGCGAGAGCCACGCCGCGGTTTGTTTCTTCTTTTGAGACTTCACCCTAAGCCAGTCTTTATGGCTAATGCTAAAAGTGGCTGGTCAGCGCTGATGGGATGGATTTAAGGTGTGTTTTATGGATTCAGAGCCACCATTTCTCACGGGAACGGAAACTCGCATCCCTATCTGGCTCATACCCAGGGTCTGAAGGAGAAGCTCGTTTCTGTGAGGGCTGTGAGCTCACAAGGGGTTGGGGGGGGGGTGTCAGTAGAACCCGCAGAAAAGAAGCCTCCGGGTTGCCACTGGTGAGCAATGGAGGGCGAGGAGCTTCATTGTCTGGCGTTAAAACACGTCCCATTTGTCACTCATGCATTTTATAGACAGAAGAATGAGGTGTCAACGGGATCGCTTTCTTGTGTATTTACAGAAAACCCTTTATATCTGAGGTGCCCTCCCTAGCTCCGCATTCCATGTCATGTGGGAGATTATCCTACACCTCACCCCCTTCCCAAATCACGAAACTTTCACCTATTTTGAAAAAAAAAAATTTATGTTTTCTAGCATTTGAAGAAATTACATGAATAAAAGGAGGGAGGGGTCCACACTGAGGGAATCAGCTGCAAGGTGTAATTTCGGTTTTCACAAATGGAAAAATTGCAGTAGATTTTTTTTCCTATTATTTTGCTGTTCATAGTGGTAAAAAATCAATTAAAGAGAAATGATCTTTCAACCTCAGTTGGGGAGGTGTCTTCATGCCGCCGTCAAAGGTCTGCCATGTAACTCTAGGTTCACGAAGGCTTTTCAACGGTGGGACACAATCATTGCCTCCCCGAGTCTGAGCTGAGGCCCCAGCCTGAAGCCAGCCCAGCCCGGTGTGCAGAGCCGAATCGGGATCTGGTCACTGAACGAGTCAGTGGGGACCTCACTCTCAGGCCCTGGGGACTGACCATCTCTATTTCTCAACCAATGTCAAACCTTCTCCCTTGTCTGTCCCTCTCTATCCTGGGACCGCTCCCCTCCATCTAGCAAACTGCTCTTCACATGTCCCCTCCTCTGCTAGTCTTCCACCTGCCCATCCACCCATCCACGCATCTGTCCATCTAGCCGCTCAGCAGATCTTTGTGGAGCACCCCCCACGTGCCAGCCCATGTTCTAGCCACTTGGGATCCCATTCTGGTGGGATAGTAGCTCACACTATGATGCTCCTAGAGCTTCATGAGCATTTAGGTCATTTAACCCTTCCAGCAAACCTGATGTCAGTGCCCTACTTCTTCCCACTTAACAGAAGAGAAAACTGAGGCTCCGAGGCATTAATGCACTCAAGACACTTGAGGAGTGGTGGAGAGGCCGGAATCTTGGCCACTAGGCTCGTGGTGCCCCATCTCGTGCCCATCTTTGTGAGCTGTGGGTTGCACTGTTGGGTGGTTAGTGTTTTAATGTCCCCAACTAAATTTTAGGTACTCAAGGGCAGGGACCGTGGGCTGTGGAGGCCCGGTGTGGCTTAGCATCAGCGACCACCCAAGGTGCTGCGCAAGGCAGGAATGCCTACAGTCACTCCCCTCTACACACTCATACCCTATTTGCATTTATTGGGGCCTCTGGACAGACAGCCTCGGCAGCCCCAGGGCCTCCTGGAGCAAGCTCAGGCTTTGCCCACGGTTAACGCACTAGCCTTGCTCAGGGCCTGTAAAGAGGCATGAACCTTTATCCATGAGGTGGACCCAAGGCAGCTCAGGGGCTGGCGGAGGAAAGCTGGCTAGAAGCAAGTGAGGGCAAAGGGGAAGGGTGCATGGGGCCTGTGCACGGAGCCAGAGGGGACAAGGCCTCGTGGAAAGCCAGGAGGAAGGGGGACTGCTGAGACCCTGCCCAACGTTCTGGGCTTCTGAGGGACTAAGGACACTGCCTGCTTATTCCTGGCTGCTTCCTTGAGCTTGTCTCCCAGCCCAGGCTCTGGGTCCTGAGCCCACTCACACCCCGTCCCTGCGGGACCTGGAGTGGGTCTTTGTGTCCTGCACTTGAGCTTGCTCTCGGCGGAGTTAGCCGTCAGCTTTGTTTCCCCGACCCGCATGCCCTGACGCACTCCCGCCCTCCTACCCCAACCTGCAGAGCCCTGCACCAGGCTGGTCAGCCCTCCTTCCCTCAGTGTCAGCGAGAGTCACCCCATAAAATCTGGCTGGGGTGTGGGCATCCCAGGCTGCCTGGCCCTTACCTGACCACTGATTCTCTCGCCTCTCATCACAGTCAGGACTGAGGAGGGCCATGGCCTGAACTCTGCAAGAGGACAGGCTCAAAACGGGGCTGCTACATAGACCGGGACATGCCCGCCTTCAGAGGACAGGGATAAGCCCAGGCACAAGGGGGACCAGCCAGCCGGGTCTCACCCCACCCCCTACGCAGACGCATGTTTGTACCTGTGCCAGCCTGTCACATACACACGAGGGTTATGGAGCCTGCATATCCCGTCTCAAGATGCTTAGGAGAAAAGAGGCAGGACTAGGGCAGGTGTGGGGGACAGGAAGGCCCAGGCCTGCTCAAAGGCCACCTTGCCTCGGTCTCAGAGGTCAAGTCTGAGTCCCTCTATCCAGGGCACCAGCATCTGGCCAGAGGACACACACCTTCTTTGACCTGTCAGCAGCTGAGACCTGGCACGTGGGATGCAGGTGGCCCCTCAGCTTGGCCGTTTGGGCGGTGCCCTGAGCAGGGGGTCAGCCTTGTGAAGGCCAAAGCCAAGGCCAGCCACCACGTTCTCTGGCACAGACATCAGTCCCCGGTGCCGGCTCAGCTCATAGCCACAGCCCTCAGCCTCCAGAGGCCCTGGCATCATAACAGTGTCTAAATTGCACCTTTCAGAGATGCCTGATGGATAACCAAGAAGCAGTTGGGAGGCCGGGACCCAAGGCCTTTCCCTTCCCCTGTCTGCAGGCCTCATCCATCTTTGCTCGAGCTTCCCCTTGCCGCCCCTTCCCCAAGGCTGTGGCGCAGGGCAGGGCCTGGGGGTGGGGAGGAAGAAAGCATGCCTGCCTGGAGGAGCCTTTAATTGCCCGGGTGCCAGGTGGCCTTTTTATTCCTTTGTTGTGTGTTTGACAGTTCGTGTGGCCATCAAATTAAACCCGGTAAATCGCCCGTCTTCTGCGGGGTCACTTGTTGTGCAGATTCCGCAGACTTCAGCATGATGGGAGTTAGGACCTGCCGGCTCCGTGACTGACAGCAGGATCCTTCCCTGGGGGGCCGGGGAAGGGAGCAGGGAGGTGGCTCCGGCTGGATGGATACAGACCCCCATTCGCCAACGGGGGACCCGGGGCATCATTCTTGGGGCTCTGTCACATCCAGGCTCCCAAAAGGGACTCCTTGTCAATTGCTGTGATGCTGGGCCCCCTCCGCCTTCACTTGTGCATCCTCAGCCCCACGCCCCAAGCTACGGTGGACACACTGATCCTATGGTGGGACCCTCCTGTTGTGACCCCAGGCTGCGCCAGCTTCTTTCTCATGGGGAGCTGTCCAGGCCCAGGGAGGGGGTGTGAGTGGCTGGAGCCCACAGCTCAGCTCTCGCCTCGGTCCCCCTGGAACTCTCAGCTGCAGCCCAGCCCCGGTTCCTGAAGGCCCTGACCTCCCTTGTGCTGCTCCCTCTGGGCCTTTGCTCCATGCTGTTCCTGATCCTCGGACACCAACACACCCTCCCCCGCTCCTGCCATTGCTGGGCCAGTTTCTGCTCCTCCCCAAGACCTCAGCGTATAGAGCCCCCTCCGTGAAGCTTTCCCTGATCCTCTGCAAAGCTGACCCACTTCACTGGTGGGAGATGTTTATCTGCCAACTGGATGGAGGCGCTTCCCTGTTGGAGACCCCCGGCCTGGTGTCTTCCCCAAATCCCATTACGCTGGGGCTGCCAGAGGCCCAGGGACTTCCGGGGGGGGGTCCCCTTGGGAGGCGGGAGGCTGGAGGGAGGGTAACACGCAGGGGGCAGCTTCAGGACGGAAGGCCCAGCACAGGCCCTGGCATGCCGGACAGGAGATGGTACTGCTGCAGGTTCTCAGGGCACAGTTAGCTGTGAGCACACCAGGGGGCTGAGCGTGTTTCTGGAAGGAGCTGGAGGCCCCAGGCGGGAGAGGGAAGGCAGGGCAGGCCTCCTTCTGCCCCCAAGCGCTGGCCTTCCTTCCTGTTGGTTAGTGAGGGCAGCTCATGTGGGGATGTCCTGACGCTGGGACCCCCGAAGTGCCAGGCACGGTCTCAGCCCCCACTTTAGGAATCAGAGAATTCCACATGGTGCTGACCCCAAGAAGGAGGCACGTGAACTAGAATCAGGGAGGGGACAACAAAGCTAGGTTCGAATCTGGCCTCACTAGTCCCCAGCTGTGTGTCCTGCCGCGACACGTCCCTGGGCCTCAGCTTCCTCATCTGTAACGTGCCGCTGGGAACCCCACTGTCCCGGGAGGACAAGAGAGGGGTTGTGCAGAGTGCCCAGCACAGGACCGGGTGGTTTTAGAAAGAAGAGCTGCTCCATCTTGTCCCGGGGAGGGACCCCAAGGTGTTCCTATGACCCACTCAGGCTGCTCACCTGTCTTGGCGGAGCTTCCGAAACGACGGAGCCAGGGAGCCCCTCGCCCTCCCCTTTTCTATGCCCCCTCTGGTCCATCTCTTCAACAACAGGAGTTCATTGTGTTTTCCCTAAGCCTTGCCAGGCCCCCAGGTCTTTCCCGGAAGGACCCGAGGCAGGAGCAAGGTGTACAGACAGG